TTTTTTTTTTTTTTTTTTTTTTTTTTTTTGGTCTTTTTGAGACCAGGTCTCTCTGTAGCCTCAGCTGGCCTTGGCCCGGTCATTTCTTTACTTGTAACCTAATAGTGTTAATTTAAAAATGCAGAGTAACACACACGCACACACACCCGCAAACCGTTATGTGGTGGTAGGTATTCACCTGTAATCCCAGGACTTGGGGGGAGAAGTCAGGAGGACCAGGAGTTCAATGTCATCCTCAGACACGTAGTAGTTCAAGGCAAGCTTGGGCTTCATGAGATCTTGTCTCAAAAACCCAAAAGCTAAACAAGAAGAAGATGCCCCCCAAATATATTCAACATTAATGGGGCTAAATTAAGAGTTAAATTCGAAATTGTCACTTTTTTCTTTTTTTGCAAAGAAGAAGCGCTTTGTAAGCAAGCAATCAATAAAAGGAATAGGAGTAGAATCCGCCAGTTGGACACAAGTGTGGAGCGAAGAGCCCTTGGAGAGATTCAGAATGTGGGCGAAGGCTCTACAGCCTCACAGGGCACCTGGCAGTCCTCAGAGTCCTCACAGTCAAACCTGGGGGAGCAGACACAGAGCGGATCCCAGGGAGGAAGGTCTCAGCGTCGGGAGAGACATAACCGGATGGAAAGAGATAGAAGGTAATGTAGATGATAGACTGTCGGCTTGATCCACGCAGTAGTTGTGGATATGCTGGCTTATTGCACAGCACTTGGCCACTCTGCCTGGAGGGAGGCGCAGGACTCAGTGATCCTTGTTCTGACTTGCTACTGAGGGAGGACAACAGACAAACTCAGCAAAGACATGTGGGAGGAGCCAGGGAGCAGAGTCTTGGGAGTCTTCTCCCAGAGGGATATGAAGACCTTCCTTGTGAATGACTCTAGTGGTGTCCTCCAAGAGCATGTGAGCTTCTGTTAGGTAGGAAGGCTCATCAAAGACGATATTTGTGCTCATCACATGAACAGTCCCTGTCTGTCAGGCATTGAAACTCAGCATGTTGCTTCTGAGTTGAGGTCCTGTGGGCTAGTCTTCACCAATCTCCCCAAATTCAAGTTCCCAGACACTTGTGGAGGGCAAGCCTTGTCAGCATGCCCTTAAGGAGAGCATCACGCCCTCAAGTTAACTTCACAGTAGGTGGTGTTGTAGCTTTATGTGTTTGGAGAAGCCAGGTGTGGTGACACACAGTTATAAATCAGCACTCTGCAGAAGGCTGAGGGAAAAGATAGCCTTGACTTTGAGGCCAGCTTGGGCTGCATAGTAAATTCTAGGCCACTTGTGACATAGCAAGACCCTGTCTTTAAGAAAAGAAGAAGACGGAATGTTGGGGAAGGAGGAGGTTAAAACTGTTATTTAAGTGGTCTAACCTGTGAATGTTATTTGTGCTCTTCTAGGTGGACTTAAAGGTTATTTTTTTCTCTGTTGCAGTTGAGTTTCAGTACAGTGTTTAATAATAATAATCAACTTGGTCAGCTTTGTACCATGTGTCTGTTTTCAGCTGAGGAAGTCAGTAGCACTGAATGAGTTGGAGCATTGAAGTGCCAATATTGAATGTTGTGCCATGGTGATTGATTACTTTTTAAAGGGTTATGTGGTGGCCCATACCTTTAACGCCAGCATTCAGCAGGCAGAGGCAGATGGATCTCTGAGTTTGAGGCCAATTTGGTCTATGTATCGAGGCCTTGCTGCAAAAAGAAGGTGGTGGGGAGGAGGATGTGTTAAAGCTAGGGGGGCTGGAGAGATGGCTCAGTGGTTAAGAGCACTGACTGCTCTTGCAGAGGACCCAGGTTCAATTCCCAGCACCCACATGGCAGCTATGAACCATCCTTCACTCCAGTTCCAGGGGAATCCGAAGCCCTCTTCTGACCTCCATGGCATTGCACGACATGGGTGCACTCACATACATGCAGGCAATACACTTATACACATAAAATAAAAATAATAAAATATTTTTAAAAAAACACAAAAGACTAGGACTAGGTAGATATCGTTCTTTGTCTCTTTTGAGATGGGGTCTCCCTATGTAGCCCAGGCTACAAGACACTTTCCTTACTACACATGGACACATGGCAATGTTCTGAAAGACTGCCCTGAAATGCACTGTGAATTGTAAGGTGAATTCTGCCTACCCTGGCATTTATTTAATGAGCACTTGCTGAATAGCTGCTCTGTGAAGTTCCACCCACTGCATGTTGGTGTTTGAAAGTGAATTCTCTACATCTCAAATTCTGTGTGTCTCTTGCGTTTCTCATCCATGGGATTGGGATGCTCCTTTTGCAGAGACTTGAGGTCAGAAGTCTGGCTAATGGGGAGTTTGGGCCTAGAAGTCCCAGAGTATAGGGAAGAGCTGGCTGCTGTTGATTCTAGGTACAGCTGTGAAGATGTGTAGTGAGGGCTGTGAGGTGTGACTGTTCATGTCAGCACAGACTTCACATGTTACTGAGTGTGGTATGTAAAGGTTAAAACATGATCAGATAATATTCAAGTTGTGACTTAAATTCTGTCTAGAGGAATTTTTTTCAAATGCTGGTGATGGAAGTCAGGGACTCGAGGAATGCCAGGCAAGCATTCTGCCAGCCCTGGCCCTAAATTCTCTATAAAGAGCTCCAAGTTTATTTTTATGAGATAGGACGGTATTATGTATGTATCCCAGGTTGGCCTTGAATTTGTGATTCCCCTGCCTCGGTTTCTCAGGTGCTGGACTAGAGGTGTGTGTCACCATGTACTCCTCAGTGATCTTTTTTTTCTTTTCTTTTTTTTTTTTTTAAACAAAACGTTTGTTTTATTTGCAATACTCAATGCATCTTACAAATTACATATTTTCATTCCCTAAGCGTTTCGGAAAGTTATTCCAGTTTGTGCAATGAGTTTACAGGAAATTCCTAAGATCTCCATTAGACATCTTAAACCTAAATCCTAAGTTGTGATTTTTCATACTATATTAATAGAGGACTGCTTTTAGGAAAAACTAAGCTGCATTTAAGTTATTACCGTCTGACATCTTTAACTCATATACAAACTGGATTAGCCTATGAAATAATACCATTAGATTTGGATAAATTATTCTGACCTTCCCTCCCCAATGAAATGCATGCATAAATTAAACATGGTAAATGACATCAGTCACATTTCATTTCAGTACTTTTTTACTCTCTCAACTGTTTGCTTTGCTCAATTCAGGGTATAGACAGGGAGAATTCCAGTCTAGAGAAGTCCAAATCCACTGCCCTGCTCTGGAATAGGAAAGGGTTTCAGCATGTGGAGGCAAGCCAGACTCAGGAAGAGTTGAATTGTTTCTTCATGAGGTCTTGCTAGTAGGAGCAAGGTCCCTGGCAGGACTGCAGAGCCTGAAGGGGTCCACTGTTTCCCTACTAGTCATCTAAGAGGTACCTCATCCATGCCTCCACAGAACAGGCTCTTTTCTTCCTGTTCCCCAAATCATCACTTCCTAGTCTCCCAAAGTTGATGGCAGAAACTGCTGTTATGTCAGATAAAGATCTTATGAACAGGAAAAGAACAATTGTGCACAAGATCAATGATCTTTTTCAATCGAAAACTGCGCCTGAGTTCTTTTTTTTCCTTTTCTTTTTTTTTGTCTTTTATTTTCTCTCTTTTTCTTTCTTTCTTTTTTTTTTTCTTTTTGAGGCAGGGTTTCCCTGTAGCCCCAGCTGGCCTGGAGCTTGCTATGTAGACCAGGCTGGCCTCCAACTCACAAAGATCTGTCTGCCTCTGCCTCCCAAGTGTTGGGATTAAAATCTTGCGCCGCCAGCCAGGCTTGGGTTCATATTTTCACACGTGAGAAAACACGTTATGATTCCTAAGTAGCAGCGTGGGGCTCGGAAGGTGGGCCTGGGTTCAGTACCCAGACATCCAAAAAATAGAGAACAGTGAAGACTACTGCCCAGAAGTACACACAAAAGTTTGCTCCTACCTTCAAGGGGTTTGCAGTCTTCCCTGTCACAGGTCTGAACCTGGTCTATGAGAAGTAACAGAGAAAACTGTAGGTACCTGGGCTTCCAGGAACCTACAGGTGCTCTGCTGATTGGGGGCAACAGTGGCCTCTGTAGACAAGAGGTCAGTGGCAAGGCACCCACTGGCTCACCTGCGGTTCCGGTTGGAGCACACCTCCTGGCCTCTGGATGCCAGCTCCATGAACTCTGCTTTCTTTAAGTAGGATGGTGAACTTCCTGTTCTGCCTGTACTGTACCTCACCAGCTGCCCTGTGTGATTACTGTGGATTTTTGACTGTAGGCGCAGAATCCGAATTTGCTGTGATGAGCTGAATCTTTTAGTTCCATTCTGCAATGCGGAGACAGATAAAGCAACAACCCTTCAGTGGACCACGGCATTCCTGAAGTACATTCAGGAAAGACATGGGGATTCTCTTAAAAAGGTGAGTGTAGCGGAGAAAGACGGGGACGCTCTTGATGAGGTGACAGAGCAGGTGGGCAGAGCTCGAGAATTTTACGTTGTAGCTGTTGGTCCTGCATTGATCCTTTTTTCCTAGACTGCCCTGAATGTCCTGGACTCTTGAGGTTGGATACGAAGTCCAGTGTGAAGGGAGTTCTGCTCGTTGGTGATGTCACTTACTGAAGTCTTAGTCACAGCCCAGATTTGCTTGAAATGTAGATGACTGCCAGCTGTCAATTGACAGATACCAAATTGAGCACCTGCTGTATACAGTGTATTGTGTTGGGGTCTAAAAGGCATACAGGACATGATTTTTCCTCTTAGAAAACTTGGAGAAGGTTGTGGATATAGCTCAGTGGTAGAGCACTTACCTGGTGTGCGTGAAGCCCTAGGGAGAGAAAAAATGAGATTTCTGAAAGGAATGAAAGTAACAATAGAAAAAAAGGCAGATAAATATCAAGTCAGTAGTCTGACCTTCTGGCTTCTGCTATGTTAAGAAGGCAAACGGTTACATTTCTGTTGTGTGGGTGGCCAGAGTGAGCCCTGCCTTTGAGTCTATGCACTTGTGGTTCCTTGAGGACTCTGGCACCCTGCTCCTACCTGTCTAGATGTAGGCTCTTGGTTCTGCAGGACTGGTACCTGGTTTTGGCTCAGCCCTAGGCTGCAGAGCTCCCTAGAAAGGGGGCAATTGTGGGTTGGTTCTATGCTGTGCATGGGAGACTTCAATGCCAGGCATTGGCCTCGGGGTTCTGGTAGTCGGGGCCTGTGCTCTTTGTCCTTCAGGGAGTGCTAAGGGTTAGGGAAGTAAGTGGAGGGCCAGGTCCTGATCTTGTACCCATGTTCTGTGGAGCCCAACCGGAGTCTGCTGGAGAATGGGTTCAGATGGCACAGCAGACCTGGAGCCTTGAAAAAGGCGCTTGACTGCACTGAGCTGGGCTTCACGGTCCTTGCTCTCGTCCCTTTCTGGCATTTGTGTCTGCATGGCATTTACATCCCCCAAGAAATATAACATCATGTGCTTCACTTTGTTTATATGTCTATTGCGCCTTAAAGCAGTACTGTGTGAAATTTGTTCTAATTGGATCTTTTATGGTTATTTATAACGTGGTTGCTCTCTAATATCACTTGCTAGTGTAGACTGCTGGTTTGTTTTAAAATAAAGTTTCACTATTTGTTAAAAAGACTTAGTGTTTGGCTCTGTGTACCTATTTGTAGTAGATTGTTGATATAATCTAGTCAGATACAATGCAGGTGTTTGTAATTTCTGACATAAAAATCTTTAGTGTGTGTGTGTGTGTGTGTGTGTGTGTGTGTGTGTGTGTGTGTGTATTTAAAAGATGATGTTTTTTTTTTTTTTTTTTGGA